AGGGAAGCTGCAACCTGTCTCGCGTTGACAGTACCACCTGCCTTTTCCCCGTGGAGGAGAAAGCTGTGGAGTACTACTTTGCTTCTGATGCCAGGTAATGCTCTTCCGTACCTCTTAGCGCGTGTACAAATGCGCTGTTGAAAGCTGAGGCCTTGAACAAGAGTTGGGGAGGCTGTGGTTTCTTGATGGATAATAGGAAATTACACGTACACGGCCATGACTTTACAAACGTTAACTGGTTACCACACGTGGCACTGGAAGAGACAGAGGTGAATTAAAGAAATGTCGAAGAAATGAAACCGGCTTTGGAGTAGTGGTGGTGTCCTTTGAGCACATCTGTTGATGAGATCCCAGAGGTGAGCGATAGGAAACCTGAGAGCACCGACCTAAATTAACAGGGCAGGTGCTGATTAGCAGGAGAATTGTGTTGATTCTCCAGGGATCTCTGCACACGTGCAGCTCCTTTGTTGTCAAAGGTGGCTTATTGTAATCCTGGTGGAGGGAGAAGACTAACTTGAAGGGAGAAGACTAACTTGACAGCAGCCTTACCAGAGCTTCTGGGTTTCTCTATATGAGGGAAACAAATAATCATTCCAGAAACGTGAAAATCTTGCTGTGGTTGACTTCTGCAGCTTTTCCCATCAGAGCATTTTGGAGAGTCCGAGGACACCCTGATATGTCCTGATCTTGGAGAGCTTTTCAGTGACTTGCCCAAGGTCAGAACAAAAGCTACAAAAACAGGTGGCCAATGTATTTCAGTGCCACGTTCAACTAAGAGAGAGCACTGGGTAAAACCTGGTCACAGATTTTAAACTCCACTGGTAATTCTGATATTGACATTCCCCAAGCAAGGCGCGGGCAGGGAAGATATTCTATAGTACCCAATTCTGGGAGTGCTTCTGGGCAGATCCCAAAGTACTTTAACAGGCGGCCAAGCTGTCCCTGGTTTTACAGATGAAGAATGAGATGCAGGGAGGGATGGTGGCTTATCACTGGAAAAAGCCATGAAAGGAATCGGCACCTATAGTTGAGCCCCCGGCGCTAGGGCAAATCGCTGTCTTCCTGACTTCTGTGCTCGTGCTCCTAACGGTTAGATCACATCGCTGCGCGTGCAGCTTTGTCTGAGGAATTCAGAGGTTCTTCTTAAAGCAGGCACTGAAATTAATAGCGAGGTAGGTGGAAAAAATCCAGTTATATTGGCTGTGTGGAAATGTACTTTACAGTACTCCTCTTAAAGAAATTCCATCGAAGTGAGTAACTTTGTTGAATCACAAGCTGTATGTTGGGTTATAAGTAGGGCTGTAGCACTCATCTTTGAGGCTGAATGAAGAATAATGTGAAGAATAATGTCAAGAATAATGTCTTATGGCAACCGGTGTATGCTTTTATAGTGCTGTCATTGAGCATACCAACAGAGTGATTTTCCTTGAAGATGACGATGTAGCAGCTGTGGTCGATGGCCGTCTTTCCATCCACCGGATTAAACGCACAGCAGGAGATCACCCCGGGCGCGCCGTCCAAACCCTGCAGATGGAACTTCAGCAAATTATGAAGGGTAAAATCTTTTGGATGTCACCTGTGTAAGATGCACAGGCCCTCCCCGGAGTCACAGAATGAGTCAGGTTGAAAAAGACCTCTGGAGGTCATCTGGTCCAGTCCCGGTGTTAAAAGCAGGGCCAAGTAGATGAGAGGGGGCTGAGGATTTCGCCTCCTGCTTGGAGGCATCCATTTTTTCCGAGGTTGATCCCCTTGCCGGTCCAGATCTGACCCTTCCTAGACACATTCTAGTAACTGAATCCAGCTCGCACGATGAGCTGATGCTTTGGTAGAAAAAGCAGCAGCATCTCAATAATCTCTGGCTGGTCACTGGCCTCTTAGTGACTCTGGTCCAAGCTTTTCCCTGTATACGTAGGAAAAATGTAAATTACCAGAGATAATTTCAAGTGTTGGCATTTGTTTTCTTTCTTTTATAGGTAACTTCAGCTCATTTATGCAGAAGGAAATTTTTGAACAGCCAGAATCTGTCGTTAATACGATGAGAGGAAGGGTCAACTTTGATGACTACACTGGTAATTGAGATTAAGTCTCCTTTACTTCTGACAGCTCAGGATCTAGTAGTTACTCACAGGAGTCATAGAGAAGGAAGTGGGGGATGACGTGGGAGATCAAAACGTTCTGGAGTGCGTGTCTCACAGGGAGTGCTTCCAGAATTACGTGCGCTGGTGACAAGATTGCTTTTTGTGATGGTTTTTCTTGCAAAGTGGTTGATGGAGATGGTCGTCTGCTGTGTGTGAGCACCAGCTGTCTTCAGGATTTCTGCTACCTGGCCAGGCCAGCCTAATTCTTCTCTCTGAATCTTGCCTACAGTAAATCTTGGTGGATTGAAGGATCACATTAAGGAGATTCAGAGGTGTCGTCGTTTGATCCTTATTGCCTGTGGGACAAGCTATCACGCTGGAGTTGCGGTAAGTGGTCAGTCGTGATCTGTTGGCGACCCGTAGCTAGAACTGAACAGTGGGCCCAGCGTTGCGTGTGTCCAGCAGGTTAAGGACTGGTTCCAGGCTAAGCTAGAGCAAGTGCACGCTGATGAATGAAGACCCTTTTGAAAGCTGCGTGCCCCTGAGTTTCAATTGACCAGCAACAGCTGTAGGAAATAAAAAGCTGAAGAACGTGAATACTTACGAAAATGTTGCCTGTGACTTTTCTTGCTATGGAAAGCTTTAAAAAACAAAACCTGCTCTGTCATAAAAGACAGCTGGAAGAGCAGAATGCAAATGCTGCAGCAAGGTAGGGGCTGCCATGAGCCAGACAGAATTTCCTCCTTTGCTACTTACGCAGCCGACGCCTGCTTAGAGGCATCTCTGTGCCTGCCCCGTACAGCAAAGAGGTTTCACTTTGCACCCTACGCAGCACTGGCTGCGTGTACAGCCAAGGTGTGATTTTTGTTTCGTCAGGGTCTGACCTAATGGTTGGTTAAAACGCAGTGGCTGCACGTGAAGCCTTTTTAGATTGTAGCTTGGCAGCCCACAATATTGCAATTAAAAGTGCTCTGCAACTTCACAGAGGAATCCTTCAGCTTCTCGCAGAAATGCCGCAGAACACAGCTGCGGTCACTGCTTTACCAGGACCAGAAAAGACAGTTTTGGCTCATCTTGGCTGGCTCCGTAAGATAACGGTAACAGTCATCCACCAACTGCCCCAAACCAGCTTCTGGCTTGGCCTGGATGCAGGTGGTGGTGGTTTCAGCGTTCTTCAGCAGTACAAGTTACTGCCTGGTAGGAGGACACCCTGCCTTGCACAATATATATGTAGTGTTGTAGGAGGACACCCTGCCTTGCACAATATATACGTAGCGTTGTAGAAGGACACCCTGCCTTGCACAATATATACGTAGTGTTGTAGGAGGACACCCTGCCTTGCACAATATATACGTAGTGTTGTAGGAGGACACCCTTCCTTACACAATATATACGTAGCGTTGTAGGAGGACACCCTGCCTTACACAATATATACGTAGTGTTGTAGGAGGACACCCTGCCTTACACAATATATACGTAGTGTTGTAGAAGGATACCCTGCCTTACACAATATATACGTAGTCTTGTATCATAAGTGGGACAGCCTTAGGAGCGATCGACGCGTGAGGGAGGAGTTGGTCATAAGTGGGACAGACTTAGGAGCGATCGACGCGTGAGGGAGGAGTTGGCCTCCCAGGCCCTTTGTGGTGCCCAAAGCAGGGTCACTTTTCGCAGGGGTAGTTGTGTGACTTGAGTGTGGGCATACTGAGTAATTAAAGTAGAATCCAACACTAATTTTCACATGGTATTTTGACAGTAATATTTTCCAGTGTCTGACAACTAGAAGGCTTTTTTTTTTTACTCCAAATGCTTGGGGTTTTTTTAAACACAATATAACATGCAACTTTCTGCCATCTCCTTTTACCAGACCCGTCAGGTTCTGGAAGAACTGACGGAATTGCCTGTTATGGTTGAACTAGCCAGTGACTTCTTGGACAGAAACACCCCTGTCTTCCGAGACGATGTTTGCTTTTTCATCAGCCAGTCAGGTACGGTCTCGCTTTACCACCCACTTGCTCCCCTCTTTCCTGTAAATGTGCACTTGGGAGGGAAAAGGTGGCGGGGCCAAATTCTTGCGCCTGCCTGTGTGGTACGCGGGAGAGAAGAAATTGGCACAGGCGTCCTAGAGATGGGGTGGA